AGGTAAATTTGACGCACCCTCAAATTCAAAAACTTCTGACTATTTTTCTATTTTACCAAACAAAATTTTCTTATTTTTATTAAATTTGTTTTGTTATCAGCACGCTGCTTTGAAAATGTTTGGTAACAATGCTATTTTTTTTTTAGAGAAAAATGTGATTTATATTAATAGTTGCGTAATCTTAAAAGCTATAAGGAGTCGAAAAAATTTGAACACAAAACTTAATTGTGGCTATAATTCCGTTATTGCTTGAAGCAAATATTAAATTATATATATGAATTACCCATAAAAATACCGTTTAAAAATACGTTACTGTAGCGTAATTCGTTTAGAAGTTGTGGACGTATTTGCTTAAATCATACATTTTTTTTAAATTCACCATACAGAGTGGTATTACAGAATATTTTTCCAATAAAATTTTCATAAAAAGAATTGTTTATTTAAATTCATTTGTTTAATAACAATTAACAATATTGTGCTGTAAAAAAAGAAATTTACAAAAAAAAACGAAGTTAAAAATAAAAAATAGTACCTTAAAGAAAAATATAAATTTTTAAGAAGTATTTTTTAAAAAGACAAGTTTTCTATGCAAAAATATATATAAAGCTATAACGTTTTTTTTGACGCTTTAACCACTTGCAAGGGAAAAGATTGCTTTAGATTATAAAAGAGGAGACAAACGGAGAGACAACTGCTTGTTTTAATGGCGGGAATGAGTGGTTTTTAAGGAAGCACAATTTCAGTGCTTCTTGCCCTCTATTTAATTAGAGCCACATCTTCAGCGTGCAGTTACACCATTTGCAATAACTCATCTGTCCACTGAGTGCCAGCTGCTGTTGTGCATAGTTCGGAATAAAAATCAAATCACAGCCCCGTCCATCTTGGCTGTCAGATGCCATGAGATGCTTACTTGTTTTTCTTCGCCTTGTCTCCTCTCGGTTGGGAAATTTTCTTTTAATATAACAAGCCATGCGAAATGCGTGTACAAAGAGATGGCAAAAAGTTTGCTCCAACGCCCGCTTACACTAACTAGCAGAGCAGTTGCATTTCTCCCGCTGCCATGCAGCTTATGCATTTTCCTCGTCTTGCATTTGATTAACCTACAAAAAGGCGTTTGGACGTGGGCAACAGCTCGTACAGGGGGCGTGTCGGTCGGTGCTGCGGTTTCTGTGCTTTTCTTAACGGGCAACTTTAATAAAAAAACGGTCAGTCGACGAGCTGGGTTGCAGCAGCAGCGGGGACGAAAATGCATAAATGCATAAAAAATTGGCCAGCTTACAAGCCGCTTTACATATGCAATACGGGCGCCTGCTGTGAGGGTGTGTGTGTGCAAGTGCATGGGCATACACACACTCGCACTCGCACTCTCACTCGCACTCCTACTCACACTCACACATTGTTGCAAGCAGACATTTTTTCGACACGTGTTTGCTTTCCCTACTTCCGCTTCCGGCGCAGCCATTGATGTGACTTTCCGTTATTTCAGGGAACAACTGGCCGCATCTCTTTCAAATCCCCACTGAGATTTAATTAATGTTCCCCAAATCATTTCCTCCTCTCTCAACGCCCGGGAATCATGGAAAATGTAGCCAAATCACCTGAGGAGGGACACCTCTATTTGTTTTTCTGATAGAAATGCAAAACGTTCGTGAAACATTTTCGCCCCAGACCGAAGGTATGCAGTGAAATTTTAGCAGCCACCTGACAGCACACGGATATGCGTGCGCGTGTGTGCGCGTGTGGTCGAGAGTTTGCGCTCGTTTGTGTTTTTCGGGTTGGGTTGGCCATGCATTTCCGGTTTTAATGATTATAACACAATCAAGTGCATATTGCCTAATTAGCGATCCCAGCAGCGAGCGCCGTCCAGGCCCCATAAAGTGCATAAAATATATCCCGCACTCACTGCGTGTGTACGTCCTCGCATACTTTATGTCGCTTTTTGGAACACATTCCACCACGAGTTATGTACACGCTTTCAGCAGCCAAATTTCATGTTTTTCTTGTTTATACGGCTTCCGTTCGGGGCGCGTGTGCGATAATATTGCGTGTAATTGTGTGGTCGGCTCTCCGTTTAATTTGATATTTTTGCACAAAACTTGCCACCAATTCATTAGCACTGACGAACAACGCTTTACAAATTTGTAGACGCAACAAAGCCAGATGCTAATTCATACCGCTCGACAGTCTGACACTCGACGTTGGCTTCCAATAATTGTGTTAAAGCTCGTCTGGTAACCGCCTTTCAGCTTGGGCGCGTTAAAACTGTTTCAGAGCTACAAACATGCTATCAAAAAGTGGTTTGATTCCAGAGCAAACTGCATGCATCTTTTGTTTTGGGACCAACGCTTTTTATCACACTGAGGGAAAAAGGTTATCTAAATGTAATACAAAATATTTTGTAACCCCTCATTTCATTCGTGTACTCAAATTTAGAGTGTATTTCCCATAATTTCCCAAAGCTGCAATATGAAAGATCTGGTCAAACTAGCTAAATATGGTTTCCTTTAAAGAAAATTTAGATTTTCTCGCCTTTTTATACCGGCAGTATGCATGTATGCAGTTATTTAATGATGATTATGTTGAATAATCTTGCCGATCCCAAATTATATATCAAAGTATATGTGTACACTTGAAAAAAGATGTTCTCTATTTTGTGCCTGTAATCACCTAGGTTAAAATTGTTAAATTATTTATTTCAAACATAAACAAATATTTCATTTATTTTTAATTTATTCGTTAGCTATTTTTATTAATTTGAACATATGACCTCTTATTAAATTTTGTATTAGGGTACACCAATAACATGATCAGGAGTCGTGCTCATATGACTTGGATATTAAAAAAATCGAAGATCACAATTCTGGCCATTCATCACATAACAATTATTTATTATTATTAAGAGAATTTTTCATCACAAAATTGACTTGGTACAGATTTCTGCACATTCAATTAAGTGTAAAAGGCTCATTATAAAGATCTGATATGGGTTAAATTTTAAAACTGTTTTTAATATATTAATAGAAACATTTGTTATATACCAAAAGTTGTGTAATCTCGAAAGCTATAAGGACTCGAGGCTAGAAATATATCGTTACAGGCGGTTTAAAAAATTAGGCCCCAAACAGATCCAATACTCGAAAATTTTTCTTTCGCACTCTTTCCCTATTTGTACTGTCAAGATTGACTTTTTTCCTATAGAAGAGATACCTTTTGATTGTTATTTCATTTTTAAGATAGGACTATTCCTTACTGTTTTTCCACTTCTCATTTAAATGTGCAGCTAGGACCAATTATACGCGGAATGAGCTAGCATTAAGGGCTCTGCTCTCCCTGCCAACGCTAATTCGCCTTTCTTGGGGAAAAATGCGCTTAAGGAATATTTTAATGTAATGTTTGTAATGTTTGATTTTAATTGAGTTTATAACTTGTAATTTGATTTAATACATTGGTGGAATGAATAAACAAATATTGCGGCTACATTACAAAACCTCAAAAAATAAATCAAAATGATTCGCAAACTCTGTTTTCTACATGATGTTCAACGGAAACACTACTTTTAATCTAAGAGAATACACCCAGAGAAAAACCCTATAGTAAAATTAAACATTAAAATGCTTGAACGTAACATTGTTTTTCAAAATATGAACTTACTTTAAGTCAACTAAAAATATGATAATGTCATGACTAACATATTTAATTGGTTTACCCAATAGAAAAATGGTAGATATCAATTTTTTTTTTTTAATTTCAAATAAATTTTTGCATGCTTAAATATAAAAATGAAAGTGTACAACACCTTGATTTATACACAGCACCACTCGGGGCTTAATCAGACCAAAAATATTTATTTCAAAGTGAAAATATTTTGATTTACCAAGATTTTTCTCTGGGTGTAGGGTTGATAATAGTTCAAATTATTCTAATACCAACTTTCAGTTTTCCGAGATCTTTGCCCATTTTAATTTCTACATTGTTGAGCGGCAAAACAAAAAAATTCATTTAATGTGGTCAACCACTTTCAGATAAATAGCATGCGAGCTAAGCCGCTGAAAGAATCCTAGTTTTTAATTAATTCCGACGTATGTACATTCCGGGAACAAAAAAGTGGCTAGAGAATTCTAATAGAACAACAAGACTGCCAGATCGAATACTCAGGGGGTGTTAATTGAGAACATTGTGACTATTTAACGTACTGGGCTGCAAACTTTTTCCTGCAGGTTGGACTATCCTTTAAAATGATGTTGAACGTAATAATACAGCTACACTTTTGATTTTATTTGTGTCATGTTTTTATCCAATATTCAATTTAATCAAATAAATTATATTTATTTGTTTTAGTCTTGGCTTAAAAACCACAATTGAAAAGTGTTACTGCTTTATTTTGCCAATCACTTTCAAAAGTAATTACATTTTTTTTTAAAACGAATTTTATCATTTCGTTTCATCCTGTGTGATCATAATTTGGCCTGTTTTATCTGTTCTGCAACGTTGCAACGACAGTTTTTTTTTTGTTAATGCTGCTCTTTACAGGCCACTTTTAGTTGCAAAAATTAAATGTCAAATTAAATCCTAAATTCCGCGGTGGAATTAATTTAATTGGCGTGACAGTCAAAGTGAAACGGCGAAAAAACACCGCAATTGCACAAGGCCGCCAGGGCTCTTCCATAAATGCCATTGCCAGGCTCTACAATCCAGGAGGAATGCCGTGATTGTTTTCCCGCAAGTCGTTCTCGCAGTCTGCTCCTATATTTCGCCAGCCATTTAATGAGCCACGCTCGACTTGCCACCAAGAATGCAATCAGCAGGGGCGATGGGGGAATCGGAATGCAAGGGTAAACAGCCGGGACCTTAGTTCGCAGCGAGGAGCCAGGAACCGGCACAATTTGCGTTAAGCGGGCCGTGAAAAATGAAGTACCAAATTGAAGTTGGCAGCCAGCGTCTCCGGTTGCGCCTTGCACTTATTTATTTATTTAGTTTGTGCTATTCTTCCGCTTACGTACAGTGCTGGGCTTTTATCTAGCGAAGATTGGGGAACTGCACTCAAGCGCTCACTACGTCGAGGGACGAATCGCGGACGCGTTTGCTTTCGGCACTAGTGTGTTGCAGCTGCCAACTGGCACGACCGTCTGCGATGCGAACTAAAACCATACTAAACTAATTTGCTTAGCAGGACGCACTGATTACACAAAGTCCTCGAAGGGCGATAATCGCCGCCATTCGTCAGGAGTGCCGAGTGCCGAGCGAACTTCGGCTCGGAGTTCGGGGAGTTCGGCGCGGACTCGTGTAGTTTCCGAAGTGAGACGAAGGCCAAACGCCAAAAGCTAAGAGAGTCAGGTGATGATAGAGAGCAACAGAGGCAGAGCACTGTTAGCTGGTTAACAGCTTGAGAAACCAAATACCTGAGCTCCACAATGGACAAAGGTACCAAGGATAGCCACGTAAGAGTGAACTTATAGCTCTATTTCTGAACCGAAAGCAACAATAAGATCTTTTAAACTGACAAATCTAATCATCTTATTACCGACTGATTTATTAGTTACTGTTCTCACTAATTTATCGATTTAAATGCAGGAATTGAACACAACGGGCATTCCCCCATGGTGACCGAGCTTTCAATCATTTAAAATTCCCCAAACACACACGCGCGCAACAAAATCTTCTCTCATCAATGCAAAAATCAAACATTATTTATGCAAATTACAAACCATTATTATTAAAGCCAACAACCACGGAGGCAGTAATAGTAGGAGTAACGAGTCCGAGGAGAAAGAGGAGGGAGGCCAACAGCCATATCCGTCATAGTCATGGGGCGAGTGGTCAGGGGTCAGGGGTCAAGGGTCAGGGGTCGGGGGGCAACTGCCAATACTTTGGGGAACCAATTTGGCAGCCGGCATAAATAAATTTTTACTTAATGTAGGTCAGTAATGTGCGCCACGAGTTCTCTCTTCGGCCTGCGCCTCTCTTAAGCGCTCTCTTCGGTCCCGACGCCATGAAATATGCTACTAAAGTTGCTTCTTTTCCGGCCGCGTGTGTGTGGGTGTCCGGGAAATGCCATCAAGCCTCAAAGGACCGAGAACGCTTGCATAATACAAACAGCCAATGATATTGTCATGATTCGTTGAATAATTTCGAATGCAGCTGTGCCAGCGTTTCCAAACCACGCAACCAATCGCTATTTCTATGAATAGCTTGGCAGAACATTATCTTAAATCGGGGCAAATAAAGCTTACCCTAGCAAATCTTAAACTTTTAATTTTTAACTAAAGAACGACCATGGAAGCTTAATGCTGAATTGGTGGGGACTAAACATTGTAAATTTCGGTTTTATTCTTTATAAGACCATCTACAAAACAAGCTAGCGTCATTTCATGAACTTGGCTGAATCTTTAGGCCAAAAGATGTTGAAAATAAAAGAAAACAAGAAAGAAAGCAAACCTCGGCAAGCCGAAGTTCATATACCCTTGCAGCTTGCAACATTAAAATTATGATTTACTTGAGTATACATATGTTTACAAACATTGATTCTATCATGATTTGCGGCTCAATTATTCGACAGTTTCTATGACAGCTATATGACATCGTTCTCCGTTATTAATAAAATTAAAAGTGTAATTCTGAACTGTTAAAATTTTAATAAGTCAAAGATAATTAAAAACAAGAAAGAATGCAAACTTCGGCAAGCCGAAGTTCATATACCCTTGCAGCTATTGCAAGAATTTAACATTTTTGAAAACATTAAAATTATGATTTACTGCGTATATGTTTAAAAACATTGAAGCTATGATGATTAGCAGCTCAATTATTTGATAGTTATTTTATATATTTTTATTATTTCTATGGGAACTATATGATATAGACGTCCGATTTTGATAAAATCTAAACCATAACTCTGAAATATTTAACCATTGCTATATGTCGAAGAACTGAACAAAAAATTAAAAAGCAGCAAAGTTATAATTTTTTATACCCTTGCAGAGGGTATTATAATTTCAGTCAGAAGTTTGCAACGCAGTGAAGGAGACGTTTCCGACCCTATAAAGTATATATATTCTTGATCAGCATCACTAGTAGAGTCGATCTAGCCATGTCCGTCTGTCCGTCCGTCTGTCCGTCCGTCTGTCCGTCTGTCCGTCTGTCCGTCCGTTTATATGCAAACTAGTCTCTCTGTTTTAAAGCTATCTGCATGAAACTTTCCCAAAAGTTGTCTTTCTATTGCAGGTAGTATATAAGTCGGAACGAGCCGGATCGGACGACTATAGCATATAGCTCCCATAGGAACAATCGGAAAAATAAATGAAAAAAAATTATAACTTTGCTGTTTTTAAATAATTGTTTAGTTCTTCGACATATAGCAATGGTTAAATAATTCAGAATTATGGTTAAAATTTCATCAAAATCGGACGACTATAGCATATAGCTCCCATAGGAACAATCGGAAAAACAATTGAAAAAAATTATAACTTTGCTGTTTTTTAATTTTTTGTTTAGTTCTTCGACATATAGCAATGGTTAAATATTTCAGAATTATGGTTAAAATTTCATCAAAATCGGACGACTATAGCATATAGCTCCCATAGGAACAATCGGAAAATTAATTGAAAAAAATTATAACTTTGCTGTTTTTTAATTTTTATACCCTTGCAGAGGGTATTATAATTTCAGTCAGAAGTTTGCAACGCAGTGAAGGAGACATCTCCGACCCTATAAAGTATATATATTCTTGATCAGCATCACTAGTAGAGTCGATCTAGCCATGTCCGTCTGTCCGTCCGTCTGTCCGTCTGTCCGTCCGTCTGTCCGTCTGTCAGTCTGTCCGTCTGTCCGTCTGTCCGTCCGTTTATATGCAAACTAGTCTCTCAGTTTTAAAGCTATCTGCATGAAACTTTCCCAAAAGTTGTCTTTCAATTACAGGTAGTATATAAGTCGGAACGAGCCGGATCGGACGACTATAGCATATAGCTCCCATAGGAACAATCGGAAAAATAAATGAAAAAAAATTATAACTTTGCTGCTTTTTAATTTTTTGTTTAGTTCTTCGACGTTTAGTAATGGTTAAATATTTCCGATTTACGGTTTAAATTTCATCAAAATCGGACGACTATAGCATATAGCTCCCATAGGAACAATCGGAAAAATAAATGAAAACAAGAAAGACAGCAAACTTCGGCAAGCCGAAGTTCATATACCCTTGCAGCTATCGCAAGAATTAAATATTTTTGAAAACATTAAAATTATGATTTACTTGCGTATATGTTTAAAAACATTGAAGCTATGACGATTTGCAGCTTAATTATTTGATTGTTCTATTATATATTTTTATTATTTGTATGGGAGCTATATGATATAGTCGTCCGATTTTGATGAAATTTTAACCATAATTCTGAAATATTTAACCATTGCTATATGTCGAAGAACTAAACAAAAAATTAAAAAACAGCAAAGTTATAATTTTTTTTTTTTCAATTGTTTTTCCGATTGTTCCTATGGGAGCTATATGCTATAGTCGTCCGATTTTGATGAAATTTTAACCATAATTCTGAATTATTTAACCATTGCTATATGTCGAAGAACTAAACAATTATTTAAAAACAGCAAAGTTATAATTTTTTTTCATTTATTTTTCCGATTGTTCCTATGGGAGCTATATGCTATAGTCGTCCGATCCGGCTCGTTCCGACTTATATACTACCTGCAATAGAAAGACAACTTTTGGGAAAGTTTCATGCAGATAGCTTAAAAACAGAGAGACTAGTTTGCATATAAACGGACGGACAGACGGACAGACTGACAGACGGACAGACGGACGGACAGACGGACGGACAGACGGACATGGCTAGATCGACTCTACTAGTGATGCTGATCAAGAATATATATACTTTATAGGGTCGGAAACGTCTCCTTCACTGCGTTGCAAACTTCTGACTGAAATTATAATACCCTCTGCAAGGGTATAAAAAATTATAACTTTGCTGCTTTTTAATTTTTTGTTCAGTTCTTCGACATATAGCAATGGTTAAATATTTCAGAGTTATGGTTTAGATTTTATCAAAATCGGACGTCTATATCATATAGTTCCCATAGAAATAATAAAAATATATAAAATAACTATCAAATAATTGAGCTGCTAATCATCATAGCTTCAATGTTTTTAAACATATACGCAGTAAATCATAATTTTAATGTTTTCAAAAATGTTAAATTCTTGCAATAGCTGCAAGGGTATATGAACTTCGGCTTGCCGAAGTTTGCATTCTTTCTTGTTTGTTTAGTTCTTCGACATATAGCAATGGTTAAATATTTCAGAATTATGGTTAAAATTTCATCAAAATCGGACGACTATATCATATAGCTCCCATACAAATAATAAAAATATATAATAGAACAATCAAATAATTAAGCTGCAAATCGTCATAGCTTCAATGTTTTTAAACATATACGCAAGTAAATCATAATTTTAATGTTTTCAAAAATATTTAATTCTTGCGATAGCTGCAAGGGTATATGAACTTCGGCTTGCCGAAGTTTGCTGTCTTTCTTGTTTTCATTTATTTTTCCGATTGTTCCTATGGGAGCTATATGTTATAGTAGTCCGATTTTGATATAATTTAAACCGTAAATCGAAAATATTTAACCATCACTAAGTGTCGAAGGACTAAACAAAAAATTAAAAAACAGCAAAGTTATAATTTTTTTCATTTATTTTTCCGATTGTTCCTATGGGAGCCATATGCTATAGTCGTTCGATTTTGATATAATTTAAACCGTATATCGGAAATATTCAACCATTACTAAATGTCGAAGGACTAAACAAAAAATTAAAAAACAGAAAAGTTATAATTTTTTTCATTTATTTTTCCGATTGTTCCTATGGGAGCTATATGCTATAGTCGTCCGATTTTGATGAAATTTAAACCGTAAATCGAAAATATTTAACCATCACTAAGTGTCGAAGGACTAAACAAAAAATTAAAAAACAGCAAAGTTATAATTTTTTTCATTTATTTTTCCGATTGTTCCTATGGGAGCTATATGCTATAGTCGTCCGATTTTGATGAAATTTAAACCGTAAATCGGAAATATTTAACCATTACTAAACGTCGAAGAACTAAACAAAAAATTAAAAAGCAGCAAAGT